CAGAGCTAGTACCCAAACTCTCGTGTTCGACTTCAAGACCTCAAGGAGTTGCTGCGCACAGAGGGACTCCCGTCCACCCCTCCTGGAGGGGAAGGTCTGGGGAGGTGAGCCAGATGGTGGGTGATAAGAGGAGCAAAGAGAGGTGGTCATGGGTGTGGCACACAGCAGATTATGCTGACCAGCACTCATGGTCACTGCTTTGGCCATTGTGACTGTAGGCTTTAAAATTCTAGTCTAAGAAGTTCTCACAAAGAGAAGAGCTTGTAAGATCATCTTAAGAAATTTTTGTCTCAAGACTCACGCTTCCCAAGTTCAGAGATGTTATGATGTGAGCACTGTAGACGTTCAAGGGACCTGTGCCTCACCCAGGATGTACGAAAGTTCACTTTCAACTACCAAGCGAGGAAGACTCTGCAAGATAAAGTTTTTGGTTGCAAATTTCTGCCCCGAAAAGTCTGGTTCCTGTTTTTTTTTTTTTTTGAGGCAGACCTCGCCCCCTAGTGGAAAGGGGTGGGCTCTGGATTTCGGCAAACAGTTCCTGCATGCCAGGACGCCTCCCTAAGGTTCTGCTCCTTTCCTATTGCAGGAAAAGTGGCTGTAAAAACAAAATCAGCCAGTGTGGTGAAATAGATTCACAGGTTTGGTGGTGGTGTTGGATTTTTTTTCCGCCAGGTAAAGAAGGCAGTCGGGTGTGTGTGGTACAGAGGGGTACCCTGCGGTGGGATCAACATCTTCAGGTTGGAGTCTCTGGGGGCAGTGGCAGACGTCCTGCATCAGGGTCTTCCAGGACACCTGTTAAAGTGCAGGTCCCTGGGGAGGGGGGCTAGACTGCACCGTCTGCCTCTAGCAGGTGGGGCACCGGAACCTGCTCTTGCACCAGCTCCCAGGGGATCCGGATGAGGATTCAATCCAAGAGCCCCGGACCTGGAGACCTGCCTGCTCCCAGCTGTTTCAGCTCACCCTGAGGAACCGGGGACCCATAAATGCCTTAATCCCTGGGGCTCAGCTTCCACTCCACCAGATGTGGAAAATACACCTGATTCATGAAGGGCTACAAGAATTCATTGAGAAGGTGGGAGTCAAGTGCCTCATGGGTCAGAGGTGCTTAGTAAGTGTCTTCCAACAAGAACGGTCACTCCAGCTCACCGGGCCTCAGTTTCCCCCACTGTACAATGAGCAAGTAGAAATGACATCAAAGGGCCTCTCTCACTAACACCTCAAGAGCTCCTTCCTCTTGCCTTCTTGTCTTTCTGTTGCTGCTTCTGGAGGCAGGAGATGCAGCCCTGCCCTTCAGACCCTTACCCGATCACTTTGCACGTTGCCTTCCTCCTACCTCCCTGGCTTTTGGACCCCTCACAGCTTTACTATTCACCTCAGGGAGGCATTTTTTTGGCACTGACGTGTTGCAAGTTTCTCCCACTCCTGCCAACCCCAGGATCACGAGTTTGCCTGTTCTACAGGGCTAAGCTAGAACTGTTGCTTCGCTTGGAAGGTGGGCAATCATTCCTGTCTCAGAGCCTCCAAACAGCTTCTTCTCTCCTGGACAACTGTAGACTTGCTTTTCAGAGGTTTCTAGTTCTTATCTTCTCCGTCATCCCACAGGACTGTGGAAAAATGCCACGAGGCTGCTTTTTGTTTAGAGCCAGTAACATCACGCCCACACCTGGCTGCACGGCGGCCAGCGGCCCGTAGAGGGGCTGTCCCACGCAGCAGTGGCCGGTGGCCCATAGAGGGACTGTCCCACGCAGCGGTGGCCGGTGCCTCACGGTCCCGAGAGGGAGGCGGAGGCACTGGTTTAGGCCCTTTTTATAGATAAGCAATGTTCACTGAGGGTAAGCGACAGGTGACTTTTCTAACTTAGCACAATTAGTATGGAGGCGAGGCAAATAACATCATCTTCTTCCCCAAATACTATGCTCCTCTGTTAAAGAAACCATTCTTTTATTTTTATTTTTTTAAATTTTTTTAAAAAGATTTTATTTATTTATTTGAGAGAGAGAGAGAGAGAGCACATGAGGGGGGGAGGGTCAGAGGGAGAAGCAGACTCCCTGCTGAGCAGGGAGCCCGATGCGGGACTCGATCCTGGGACTCCAGGATCATGACCTGAGCCGAAGGCAGTCGCTTAACCAACTGAGCCACCCAGGCACCCTAAAGAAACCATTCTTGAGGGGGAAAAAAAATCAGATTCTAAGAAAGATGTGCTGCATCATCCCATTTTGAGTGGCAAAAAAACTCTAAGTGCCCCTAAAAAGAATTCCAAGAGGTTGTCTGCCAGACTTCTGAGTGATGGGAGTCCCAGTGGCATTTTTTTCTTCTTTGTGTTGTCTTATTTTTTTTCTTTGACAAGCCTACGTTATTAGAAACAACATTTCGTGTTTTAAAAAATGAAAAATGAAACTATCATGCATATTTGGAAAGAAACCATAACTCCCTATGGAAACATAAATGAATCTCTTAAACAAGATATTGAACATAAGAATGCAGGCATGGAAGAGTATGAGCTGTAGGATGCTGTCTATTCAATATTCAAACTAAATGGCCAAACTAATTAATGGTGACAGTCGTGATAGTGTTTACTTTTGAGGGGTGGTGACTGGCAGGGGGGTGTCTGGGGTGTGAACCGTGCTCTTTCCGTTTTTGATCTGGGGGCTGGTCATATGTGCATGTTCACCTTATGGTAATCCATCAACCTGCATCATAGATTTTAAGTGGTTTTATTTTATTTATTAAAATATTATTTATCTCACGGGGCACCTGGGTGGCTCAGTCAGTTAAGTGGCTTCCTTCAGCTCAGATCATGATCCCAGGGTCCTGGGATCGAGCCCCCACATCGGGCTCCCTGCTCAGCGAGGAGCCTGCTTCTCTCTCTCCCTCTGCTGCTCCCCCTCCTTGTGCTCTCGCTCTCTCTCAGATAAATAAATAAAATATTTAAAAAATATTATTTATCTGAATTCCTGAGGATTTTGATGCAAGGTGAGTGCCTCCCTTGCCTCACCCTTGCCCCAGCCCTGCAGGGATGGGAAGAATAATCGAGGCAGTACTTTCCAACACTCTACCCCACTGGGCCACACTGACCGACTTATCAAAACCCTTTATATCAAGGATTTGTCTGGAAAGCACAGGGGACTCCAGGGATTTCAAACAGTATAAATACGATACAGAGAACTGATTATGGGGATGAAGGAAGAACTAAGAAGGCAAACAGGAGAATGGGGAAACCCCAACTGAAGCCTGCACTGCCCCTCAGACTGAAGGGACACAGACCCAGAAGCAGGGCCATTTGGTGGCATTGGGACCATGGCAGGAGGTTGCCAGGCAGAAGCCATGAAGGAGACACAGCAGTTGCTGAAAATGTCGGCTTCTCCCAGTCTCTTGTCCTTCAAGTCCCCGCTACCTCTTCCCATGGGCTGGACCTGGTCAGAAGCAAGCAGGTGAGGAAGATGGGATAGGACTTGCAGAAGAGAAGAGGGGATGCATGTGGGAATGAATGCACTGGATCCTCTCCAAATCTTCCACTGGGCTGCCTTCCCATCTTCCCACCAGCCTCTCTCCCTCCCAGGTCACCCTGCACGGGGCATCGGTCCTTTGCTGGGAAGGGTTTCCCTCGGCCCATGTCTGATTCTAAGGTGGTCATTAGACTAAATTTACCCACCTTGTTGTATGCACAGCATCAAGGATGTTCCATCACTTTTCCAAAGACACTGGATAACCCACTGCAGTGGACACACCCTGAGATGACCCCTTGTATAATCCTCTTCCCTTGAGTGTGGGTGCAACATGTGACTCACTTCTAGTCCAGAAAATATGGCTAAGGTGATGGGATGTCACTCCCAAGGTTACCTTACATCATACAAGACTCTGTCTTAGCAGACTAGCACGAGAGAGACTCTCCTGCTGGTCTTGAAGGACAAACAGCCATGCTTCAAAGTGTCTATATAGAGAGAGAGGCCTGGCAGGGGACTGTGGGGGCCGCTGGGGCCTGGATGGCCTTCTCCCAACAGCCAGCAAGCAGCCAGGCCCTCAGTTATGCAGCTGCAAGAAAATGAATCTGCCAACCTCATGAGCTTGGACACGGGTTCTCCCCAGTCATGTCTTCAGATGAGAACACAGCCCCACTGCCCCTAGACTGTAAAGTTGGGAGACCCTGAACAAGGGACCCAGCAAAGCTACCTGGACTCCTGACCTGGAACAATTGTGAAATAATAAATGTGTGTTGTTTTAAGCCACTGAATTTATGGTACTTTGTTACCCTGCAATAGAAAACTAATGCACAAAGTGGGAAGAAAGGCTCTCTAACTCACTTTCTCCAAACCACTGAGCTCCATTTAAAAAGGTAGATGATCAATAAGTCACTCTGTACCTTGTAACTTCTCCCTTCCCTTCCTGCTTCTTGTTCTGGCTGCACTAAAACTGAGGGACAGAGGTCAGGTGTGTCCTGTGCAGCAGGTAGAGATGCATCATGAAAAGGAGAGCGCTTGGTGCTCCCAGTTGGAGTATGTTGTCATTGCTGATGCTCCCATTACAGTGCTCCTATACAGGCAACAAATTAGGGCTGGCCTCCAGGTGCTCTGAGGTCAAGGATGGCGAATGGAACTCAGGTTTGGTATTTTCCATCCACAAATGATACAAATATGGTGCTCCGGGTTGAACATCTCCCCAGAACTCCTGTGTTCAATCTTAACCCCCAAAGGTGATGGTATTAGGAGGTAGGGCCTTTGGGAGGTGATTAGGTCACAAGGGCACCACTCTAACCCTTACAAAGTGTCCCCAGAGAGCCCCCTTGTCCCTTCCACCATGTGAGGACTGAGCGAGAAGATGGCCATCTATGAACCAGGAAGCGAGTCTTCTCCAGACCCTACCCTTAATACGCCAGCATCTTGATCTTGGACGCCCAGCCTCCAGAATTGTGAGCGATAAACGTTTGTTGTTTATAAGCCCCCCAGCGTGTGGTACTCTGTGACAGCAACCTGACTGAGACGTGGGCAAAGTTCTACTAAGACCATGGCCAACTAGGAAAGTCAGCTGAATGCTTGAGCGGTCCCTTCAATGTCATTTTATTTTCTTTTATGCAGACTGGTGGAAGAAAAGAAATCCCGTAGATTCTTCTGGAAACTGTCAAGATATTGGGAAGATGAATGAAAAACTTGCATAGATTGGGATGCCCACAGTTTGGACTTTCAAGGCCTAAAAGATGAAACAAAACAAAGCAAATGGGGCTTTTAGGATGAACACAATTGCCCTCTTGAGAAGGGGAGAGAGAGGCCTTCACAGTTGTGTAAGGTGGTCATTCCCAACTGTGGCTGCACATTGGAACCACCTAGGGAAGGTCTTTGAAACAAACTCTAAAAAAGTTAAGTATAACATAAATACAATAAAGTACACACTTCTTAAGGGTCCGGCTTGGTGAATTTTCATGAGTGAGTCCTCCTGGCTGACCATAATAAAGAACGTTTCAGGCACCTCAGAAATCCTCTTCACATTCGCTCCCGGCCAATATCCTGGCTTCCCTGCACCCACCTCCACAACGGAAATTGCTATTCTGGTTTCTGACATCACAGAGAATAGCTTGGGAAGCTTTAAACAATGCCGATGCCTGGGCCCCACCGCAAAATATCTGGTCTCAGGAGCTGGGTGGAGCTCAGGCCTGCAGACCACGCAAAGGGCCAAGTGTTCTGGTGTGCAGTCAGGCTTGGGAATGACTCCCTGGCTTAAAGCTGAGTCCCATTCCCTACACGGCAGCAAGGGAGGCCCCCGGACGTCCTGGAACTCACAGGTTCCTTCTAGGACTACGAACAGGCTCTCTGGCAATCTTTGGATTTCACCTGTCAGGAGCCAGGCCAGGTAGGGGATCCACCTGGATGCTGGTGCGGCCACTGAGGCAGGTGGGCCAGGCCACGGATCTTGGTGCACATCCCAGGAGATGTGCAGGCAACAGCGGGGATGGTAGTGGCAGATACACTCCACCAAATCTCCCCTCCTCCAATACAGTACCCTTTGACATTTATAAAATGGATCTGGTGTTATAGTGAGAGTTTTCAATGTCCTCAGCTTTTCATTCAATCTCTCTCTCTAGCGTGGTGTGGAGCTGTGATTATCTTTTAAAAAGTGAGCAAGGGTCCCCTGGAGATGTAAAGTCAGGGATCCCCAACAAGGGGTGGAGGAGAAAAAGAGCACAAAGGACATTAAGGAGAAAAGTCAAAGACAGACACTCACATGGCTTTTGCAGGATGGCTTGACGAACCCAAACTTCTGGGTGATCTGGTTGGTCCTGAACTCCTGCCACTTGCCGTCCACCAGGGTCTGGGCTCTGATCTCGTACCTCACCAAGCGCTCCGCTCTCAGGCTAACGGGGCCATGTTCACAGAGCAAGGACGGGAACGCCGAGTCAGTGTGCCTTACTCTCTGCAAAGAGGGTGATCCGCCTTAGGTGAAACTGAAAGTGGGGTGACCCAGAGTTAGCAACACCTGGTTCGTTGACTCTCCCGTATGATGTGTGCGGAGAGCAAGAGGGTATTCCCCCAGGGCCCCATTTCCTAACAGCTGCTACTGCTGAATCAGCTCGCCACGGAGCCCTCACCATACAAAACCACTGGCTCACAGACTGGGGTTTGGTGAACCCAGAAAAATGCTTTTAGGTCAAGCTGCATTGAATTGGAAGTTCTTCACTACTGCTTGGCCCGAATTTAAAAACCAACATAGTATTCACATGAGCATTTCAGTGGGCGTTGTTATAGGATTCATCTCTTCCATCCAGTAAAATCCATTATGTAGGGAAGTGCCTGAGTCACTGAAGACCAAGAACTGACGCAAGGAAGAGATGTGACTCACTCAAGGGCACGTAATGAGGTGGTGGCAAAGCTGGGGCTAAAACTCTCGTTTTCTTCACTCATGCATTTATCCACTCGTGATACAAACATACATCCCCTGCATGCCGGGTACTATGATTAGTGGTGATAAGAAAAAGATGAATGAGATATGGTTTCTCAAGGAGCTTGATGTCTTAGAGACTTATAAAGCAAATCCTAAGTGGAACACAGTGGTCCCTGGTCACAGTTGTCATGGTCAATGTCATCATCATCACAGAGCGCTTTTTGTGTCAGGCCCCGTTCTATGGCCTTTGCGCAAATTAACCCAGTAATACTGCCCACAGCCAAGGGAGGTGGGTCCTATTACCTTCTCCATCTTAAAGCTCAGGACGCTGGACATAGGGAAGGAGGTTCATCGGCTTGCCAAGGTCACGCAGCTCACCACACAGCTTGACTTCAGCTCTCTGCTCTTAAACACAGTGCTCTTCCAAAAGTCTAGCAAGAGCCCCGAGGCGAAGCCATCTGCCCTCCTGACTTCGCCAGTGTCCTGTCCACTGCCCTACTCTGCCTCTTTCAACAATTCCATTCCCTCTTCCCTTGTGGGCACTACGTGTTACCTCCATTGAAGAGTGGCCATCAGTAAAGGATCACCCACCACGTATGAACTGAAGATGAACTGAGCCCCAAATGTGGAGTCAGAGTCTAGAATTTAACCCCAGCTTTGTCAATAGAGGCCATACGAACATGAAGACGTGCAATTTGGAGATCTTCATCTGTTAAACAGGCCAACAACAGCAACCTCCCAAGGTTGTACAAGTCAAATGACAATCACATTATATGAGCATGATTAGCGCCAGGCTTACAACATGTTCCATGTTCATTATTAATGAATGATTAATCAATTATTATTGATTTAGTATGAATTGACTCTATCTGAGACACAGCTTTCCTGGGCTCTGTCCTTACCTGCATGTAAAAACTATAAGAGGTAGTATCATGTTTGATCCCCTTTATCTCAAAGAAGAATCCATATATGGCAATCATTTCTGAATGCGTTGTATACTCCTAAATTGGGAAGGATAAACAACAAAGGGACAGAGAAAAGAATCTTCAGTGTTCAACGGCAAGAGGACACAGTAAAACAAATTCTAGCTAAGACAAAAGTGACTAATTTGACAGCTGATTTAAAACACAACAGCAATTTTAGCCTAGGAAGAGCCAAATTGTAGTGACTTCACAAATCCCCCAGGTTAGCACTCAGTGACATATTAACTGCTCTGTGCATCCTCTAGTGGGGAGAAGAACGAGTTAGGCATGTTCTTAGATGTTCAGGGGCTTGCGGACCTTTGGAACAAAGCATTTGCTCTAATTTGATGGGTCTAAAAGACACTCCATACTCATGGTATTGCGAGGTGTCCTGACCCCTGCGGTCGGCGGTCTGTCTACTTAGGCAGGTCTCTGCAAGCAAGGGGGGAGACCCAGCCCATCCAGGCCTGACCCAGAGGGGAGTCTCTGATGATAGATTCAGAGCCCCAAGTCCCTGAAACACAAATTCTTTTGAGATCACTACTGGGGTGGCTTTTAAAAATGTCGGAGAACAGCAATTTCTTGGAGAACTGTGCCTCTTCAGGGAACCCAAGAAGAATGCAACCACTGGCCCTGCATACTCCCCTGGCGACTGAGCCTTGCAGCCAAGCTCCCTGACCCCCTGCTGCTTGGATTTGGGGGACCCATCAAAATATCCACCCAGAATAGGTTCCCCCCCACAGGGCACCTGGGTGGCTCAGTCGTTAAGCGTCTGTCTGCCTTTCGCTCAGGTAATGATCCCAGGGTCCTGGGATCCAGCCCCACCATCGGGCTCCCTGCTCCACGGGAAGCCTGCTTCTCCCTCTCCCACTCCCCCTGCTTGTGTTCCCTCTCTCGCTGTCTCTTTCTCTGTCAAATAAATAAATAAAATCTTAAAAAAAAAATAGGTTCCCCTTGTAACCGTAAACACAGGGTTGGAGTGGAATCTCTCATCGAGCAGTTGGCAAGTCTTGATGTTTGTGGGGAAGAGAACAACCAGTTCATCCCAGTTTGCCCAAGCCTTTCTTGGTTTTAGAACAGAAAGCCCTGCATCCCAGGGAAACTCCTCCATCCCTGTAAAACTAGGACAGTTAGTCCCCCTCAAGGAGAAATTTTGGATGTGCACACCAAGTCAATGAACAGTCTGTCCCAGGCCCCTGTCTTGTGAATTTCATTTCCTAGGATGTGGTGAACATGCAGAAGGAGACACGACAATTTCCTTTTCTGCCCTGGCCTTGCTAAGAGAGGTAAGAAGCGATTATACAAAGGTCCTTAACCAAGTGTGGAAGGGGACAATCCTTCCCCTTGCTTGGGCCCAGTGGTCTGTACCTGGTTAAAGAGCAGTCCGAATCTCATAGCTTGGGTGGTAAAATCTTTCACATGGACCATGTCGCCCCCACTCTCCAGCTGAAAGAGAAGCACACAAGCTCACCTGGATACATCTCTCACCATCTGTACATCAGTTCACTGATCCCACAACCCCAAACCTGCTTGAAAAAGAGTTCTGTCTCTGGATCCCACACTCAGCCACTAATCCAGGCTGTAGTATTTGTTGAAGCCTACTATGTGCGGTACTGTGCTCAGTGCTTTGAGAGGATGCAAAGGTGAGAATGAGAAACATGCCTGAGCAGTCTCACCAGGGAAATAAAATGTGTACATAAATAGCCTGATCACGATGCAGAGAATGATGATGGCCATAAAGTCACAAGCATGATCCCACATGGCAGGCTCAGGACACTGGCAGCAAGGGGCTAAAGAAAGGAGGTGGGCTGGGTCAGAAGAACAGAAATGGTTGGGTGGGGGGACTTCCTGAGGTGTCCAGCCCCAAGGACGGTCTCCGCCTCAACTCTGCTCTTAGAGCATAGATGTGAGTTACGTCCCACAGAGGCTCGGTTCCATGGAGTCATTGTCTGCTGGGCAGCGACACTGGGCACTGTGGTTTGCACATTACAATAGGTATTTGTTGGGCTGAATTGAATTTTAACCAGTGACTCATAAATCCTCAGAACTCAAACACTGCCCTACTTCATCCCTAGAAATGCACGATTAGAAACACAAGAAGTACAGCAGTTCGCATAGACAATTCACAAAGGGAGAAATGCCACATGGGAAAAATATTCATTAAATAGTAAATCTAGTAATAAAAGAAATGCATATTGAAAAACGAGATTTCATTGTTCACTTCTCAATTAACAAAAGTGATCCGAAATAAAAACACCCTACATCACTGAGCATGTACAAAGTGAAGCAAGCTCATTCATTACTGGGGGAAGAGTAACTTGGTCCTAAATGTTTAATATGTATCAAGAACAAAAATGAATGTTCCTTTTTGGGCCAGTATTTTCTATTCTTGAGAATCTCCTATAAGAAAACAATTCTAAGTATGGTAAAATAAACTGTCACGTGCAAATATGTTTATCATACAGTCACTTATAATCGTTAACGATTAGGAACACCACGAATTGTCTACACTAAAGGAAAGGCAAAGAAGCATTGTTTATAGCAGATGCTCTTGGTGGAAGAGTTTGCAGCCAATAAAACACAATGAGTTCTTAGCAGTGGTTGTCTCTGGGTGATGGGTCTGAGGGTAGGTCTTTTCTTTTTTTCAATTTCTCTGCATTTTAAAAATTTCCAATAACAAGCACCCGTTACATGTGTGTCTTGGGGGCTTGGTCAGAGGGCGGTGTGGCCAGTGCTCCCGGACTCCATCTCAGGCTCCGGGTCAATAGTGTGCAATGCGCCCGGCACCTGGGTTCCTCCTAACCCGGCCTCCTCCCCCTCTGGCCCTCCAGGCTTGGCTTTCCCCACTGCCCTGGAGGAGGAGCCAGAAACATCCCGACCTCAAAGGCCCAGAGGTTTCAAATGCAAAACACATCTCCAGAAAAAGCCAAGTCAGAAAAGCAATAAATTTCAATAATTGTTTCCTTGCTGAGCTGGCCACTCACTGCGTGGTAATGGTTGGCTGTAACCCGGATCAGCCAGGACTCTGGGAAGAAATTAATGTGCCTTAACTCCTCCAGATTTTTGCCTTGGAAGAAACACAAAGAGAACATTTTTATAGCTGTATTCAGCACAGACCGGCAGAAGGCTAATTTATGGAGAGAAAAAGGAGGGAGCTGAGGGTTGAGGATTGGAGGGTCTAACCAGGGCCCCAGGGATCATAAGGTGCGTGGAGCCCAAATGGGACGGCACCGAACACTTTCCCCCAAAGTGTTTATAGCCCCCCGGCCGAAATCCTGCCCAAGAAGGGTGGGTTGGGGTCTGATTGTGGGTGTATTTGGGGTGTCTAGAAGCAACTTGGACAAAACTACCTGGGGTCCATCAACTATCCCCGGGTTTTAGAGTTACGCATTATGTCTGGATAATATCCTTTCATTCGCAAAGGTCTCCCTGGGGGGCCACCTGGGCAGCCCCAAACACACTCCCCAGTAGCTTCCTCCTCTTTCCAACTCACAGAGGCCTCTGCCAGGCCCAGTGCATGAGGCTGAGGAAGCCAGGTCTGGAGCACAGACCCACAGGCTTCGCCCCAACGGCCGAGTGCTTGACCTGGAGGGGATGCTCCTCGAAGAGGGGGGCGCATGGCTAGATGACACTCACACAGCCCTTGGCAGGTGCACAGGCTTTCAGGATCCACAGGGCCCTTCATCCACTACCGTATTTCACGAAGCTCTGACTATCCCCCACTTTACAGACAAGGACACTGAGACCAGACAGGTTTGTGACTTTCCCAAAGTCACGCAACTTGGAAGTGACAATGCCATCGCTCAGCCTCTTCCTTTAAAAATGCCTACTGGGTCTTTCCCAAGAGTTGCTGGGGGAGGGGGGCAGGTCCCCAGCAGCCTTCCCAGGGGGCAGTCCCTTGGGCGGGGCTTACCTCTAATGATGCCGTGCAGACGCAGGCAAAGGAAGAGCGGCACCAAGCTCTGTCCTGTGTCCTGATCCAGAAAGGAATACTTCTTGGGGAAGCTTAGCAGAGGTGCAAAGAGGAACAAGAGATTCATAACACTGCTTTCTAGAACTGGCGAGGGGTAGTGCAAGTCATGTCAAAGACACTCGTGGTTTCACTAGCCAGGGGTAGATGGGGCTTGGTTCTCTCTGGACCCGTGAGGGGTGTGGAAGCAGAGGGCCGCTGAGGCAGCCCGGGCGAAGGTTGACCCCAGAGGTTATAATGAGACACTGGTTCTAGCCCCCTTGCCATCCACCACGGAGCCGAGCAACACGGCAGGTGCATGGAGCGTACTTATGAAGTGACTGACGGTAATGAGTTACTTTATAGAGGATTCTGAGATACATTTTCTCACTTGGGTCTCACAAACGTCTTGTGGGCCAGACAGGGCAGGTGTCATCGGCTCCGTTTTACAGATGAAAAACAAAGGCTCAGTGAGGACTTGAACCCAGGACTTCGGATTCCTCCTCTCCACAGGCTGCCCTTTCAATAGTGGCCAATGTAGGCCCTTCGAAGGTGCTTTCTGGTAGGACTAAAATGAAGGAATGTGGGTAACAAGTTCTAGTAGCTGTTTCCCAATCACACCTTCAGCGGTTACTGCCCATATTAACGCCAGTTAATTTCCACACGTGGCTGAGGTCAGGGCTGGGTTGAGATCAGATTCCTTTTGAGAACACACATACATGTAGACACACACCCACCACTCTTGTTTTGAAACAACTTGTTTCATTAAAGTGTCACTTTTCACCAATGGGGACTACGGGGGTAATTTTTCCAAGTCCCTTTGGAAACGCAAAGTCATTCCCTCAAGGCAAATCCGTATGAGACCAGCCAAGGGCTCTTGTAGATTATTTTTCCATGAATCAAGAGTGATGTCCAAATCACACCCTGTCTCAGCCAGACTGAATGCACCTCTGGCCCTGCGTCCTGCCTCTGGCGGGGGGTGCCCGCCAGCCTGCTGAGGACCATTTGCTTTCAAATGGGAATTCTTGGGACTGTCCGTGTGAGCGGTCCCAGGAGATAGTTTAGGGATGGTGAGGCGTTGTGGGAGGGGAGAGGGACACCACGACAAATGAGTTGATTCAATCCAATGATCATTAATTAGAATCCACTGGGTACCAGTCTCCGGGAGTGGACAGATCAGGCATAAAGGAAGGAAGGCTGATACTTTCAGGAATGCAGTGTCCTATTGATCTTGGAATCAGCCCTCCACTACCCGGAGCAGGTGGAGCTGGGCTAGTGTGGGCCATGCCGGGGCCCCAAGAACACGATATCTTAGTCTCCTTCCCTTCCTCTCTCTCACCATTTAACGAAGGAACAAGCTAGGTGCCATCACGCAGGGTGCAGGTGTCAAGGAGGGAATGCTCTGGGGAATGAGCCAGAATCCTCGGCAAGGGCCCCCACAGCCCAGCACTGCCGAGAAAGGAGCACCTGCTGGAGCTGTAGGTTATAGACAGTTTCGGCTCAGAAGGGAAAGGACAGTAAGAGGACAGCACTTCTCCTGCGACTCGGAAGCCCCCAGGCACCAACTCTGCAGCTTGGTGGGAAGGCTGCTGGGAGAGGAAACCAAGGCCCCTGAGTCTCCCTGGGATTGCTGCTCAGGCCCGACAGCCCATCAGCCAGGAGCTCTCTGGACAGACCGCCGCTCTCCGAGGATTTGGGGAAGAGCTCTGTTGAGACACGTCATTGAACTTTAAGATCCCTCTGGATCACGGGGACATGGCAATGGTGGCAGCTGACTTGCGAGGTCATGAATCTGCTCGTGCATCGTCCAGCCATGCCTCGGCAAGCTTAGCCCTGGAGTCAAGACACAGCAGGTTCCAGTCCCGGGCCGGCTGGCCATCAGTCACGTGACTGAGCCTCCCTGAGCTCTAACCTCCTTCCTGTCACGTGGGGACAACGGCCACGTGTGCCTCCATGGGTAGCTGGGAAGAGTAAAGGTGATGGTGCTGGGCACAGTTCACCAGCAAGGACTCCCCACCTCGTGATGACTGCCACAGTCCTCTCGTCCCTGGGAAAGGGACCTGGACTCAAGCCAGCTAAGTGCATGGCGTTCATGGTCACTGCCACACTCTAAATGGTCCAAGCCAGGGGCCACCTCAGAGGAAGAAAGTGGTGGCCTCCGCTACTGATTTTCTAAAATCTGACAGCATAAGCATCAGAGGGCTGTGGTCCAACACCTGGAACCAGTCAGTACGGCCCCGCCCCTGGAGCCCCGTGAGGTCGACTGTCGCCGAGCCAGGACTCTCCCCGGACCTCCTGAGAACAGCCCCGTGCGTTTTCCCCTCCCCTGGTTCCTCTCCACTGTCTGGAGGCAAAGGCACCTACTATCTCGGGCTCAACCATGAGTGCATTCACCCCACTTGACACAAAGTGAGAGGAAGCTGACCTAACTTGGGGGCCTCTGTGCATGGGTCTGCCGGCGGGACTAGATGCTGGCATGGCTTCGCCTGGAGCTCAGTGCTGTGTGTGCCAAGATCTCTCTGGGAGCACCGACTGCTCTGGGGCAAGCTTCAGGCCATGGTGTCTGCCTCTTCAAGTTCTTCAAGAAACCCTTGGGTCACGAGCCCTTCGGGAAGGACAGTCCATAGGCCTTGAGACTGCAGGACACACCCAGGTTGGCTCTGGGCCCTGCTTTCAAGGGCCCGGGGACAAATCCCCCCCAGACTTCCTGAAAGGCAGTGCCCAGGACGAGTGTCCCTCTGACTGGGACAGGTTGTGATCGTAAAGCTGCTCTTCACCACAGCCTTCTCACTTCCCCCATCCCGTCACATGTTGGTTATTTACCCTTCCTGCGAGCGTCTGACTCAGGGCCCCATTGCCCCAGGACTTCAGATTTTAGCCTTAAAATACACACTTCAGAATTCTGACACATGACACTCCACGGATGAGCCTTGAGGACTTTATATTGAGAGAAATAAGCCCAACACAAAAGAATGAATACCATGCGATTCGACTACACGAGGTCCCTAGGGTAGTGGGATTCACAGAGAAGCAGAGCGGTGGGTCCTGGGGCAGGGGGATGGCTAGCCCTTAATTACGGAATGGACACAGGGTTTCTGTTTGGAAAGATAAAAACATTCTGGAGATGGAAGGAGGGGTTGGTTGCACAACAGTGTGAGGTATTTTTTTACTGCCACTGAACTGAACACATAAAAATGGTTAAAATGGTCAATTTTATGTTCTGCATATTTTACCACAATAAAAAAGGAGGAGGATCAAAACATCATTTCTATGAATAATACATGAAATAAGAGTTTATATTTTAAGGGGAAGTTTGAAAAAAAAAAAGTTGCACATTTTGGGGCAAAAACTCATGATGAGAATGGAACACGGCTTTTTTCAAAACGTAACTCGGTATAGACCTGGGCACCTTCAGCCAGCCAGGAGCCAGGACCCGGGCCGCCGTCTGCTAACGTACCTCTTATTTACCGAATGTATCGTCTGTCTCTGCTTCTGAGGTGGTAAATGCCACAGAGATGGGGCTCGGCATCTGTTTTGTTTGCTCACCTACTCTCGGCTCCTCTTGCAAGGCCTGGCGCTCAGTGGTCTTGCAATATGTTGAGTGAATGAAAGGGGTGAGGAGCTGGCCCCACCAACTTGGCAGCCTCCATCCTGCCCTCCCTTCCCTCCATTTGCCCACAGTGTCTCTTCGAGGAACGCCAGCTATCCCCGTCCCCAGCGCACGCATGTGCACACAGACCAGGCTATTGCAAGCTGATTTTCCTGGGCTTTATGGGGTCCCACCTGCTGTTGTTGCCTGCTTATTTGCCAGGCCAACTCCTGTCAGATATTCACTGAGACCCTGTTCGATGTCTTGACAACCCCAAGTTGGTCTTGACCTTTGCCCAAAGGCAGAACTGGTTCTAGAAATCCCGTGTAATGGTCATCTTCTCTGCCCTTTGTAAGGATCTCCTGCATCAGACACTTTACAACTCTTGGGCTCCTACCACGTCTCTACTCTTATTGAAGAAGACACGCTGGGGCTACCCAGTTTGGGTGGAAAGCCAAGAAGCCACAGGAGGGAAGTGAAAACTTGGCAAAGCATAGGGATCAATAATATTTAGGGACTTTGAAAACAAAGGAGATTCAGCTTCCAGAAAGCCAAACTCTAGGGGAGCAGGGACAGTGTGGTCAGAGCAAGAGAAAAATAAAAAAGGCAAGAAACACCGAAGTCCGGTCATGAGAAGCCCTGTTGCCCCCAAATACATCCACCTCCCTGCACAGGGCTTGGCTATCTGAGACAGAACCATTTAATGGCTCCCATGTTGTTTCAAAATGAATGTTCTGGTTAAGAGATCAGAGTTGTCACACCAGGGGTGCCCAGTTTCATGATGACTCTGTGGCCACATCTGCAAATGCCACTTATTAATCACAATAGACACATGGCTTCTGGCTGCCCTGTCACACAGTGTCACAAAGCATGTCCCTGGAGACAACGGCAGGCTCAGGCGTCAGGGATGTGGGGTGTGGTGGGGTTGGCTCCCCTCACAGGGCGTGGGGGGAGCACAGTGTTGGGTTTGTCAGGCCAGTGCCCACTCACACGGTCAGCATGTGCTCTTGTTCTCTCTGCAAAGAGAGAAGCTCAGAGGAGGAATCTGTCCAGTAGGCAGGTGAGATCTGGGAGGGCTTCCTGGAGGAGTCCTTGGCCCGTGCTGTAAAGATTGGGTCAGACTGGGATAGGGCCGAGGAAGGAGGGGAGACTCAGCTGCAGTGCTCACGGACATCTGGGAGTTGGGATCATGTGGAAATTGGCTTTACTGGCGGGGTTCAGTGACCTCCTTCTGGAGAGGTTGTAAGCCCACTGCTGGGACCCATCCTCGTGTCGGAGAGGGGCCCATTTAGTGATTAATCAATCTGTTAAGGATTAGAATTACAGGTCTATTCATGACTTTCCCTCAACCCAGAGAATCTCAAAATAGAAGATCAGGGAGACCCAGGTCAGCCCCTACTCCACCACCACGTTGCTGAAGGACCCTGAGCACACCCCTTGCCTTCCCCGGCCATCTGTCCCTGGACGGAGTTTACGGATGCTCCGTTGAGTGAAAGGGAAGGCAGACCTTAAAACATGTGTACTGTAAGATTCTATTTATACAAAGTTCAAAAGCAGCCAAGACATCTTGAAAGGAAAGGAAGCCAGGATGTTGTTTGCCTTTTTCTGGGAACGGTGGGGACTGAGATAAGACCCTTTCAGTGGCTGGCCGGGTCTGTCTCTGGGGCCGGGTGCCGCGCACACAGCTGTGTGTGCTTTGTGGAAATCCACTTCAGCTTTGGGAACTTGTCAGTGTGCATTTTATACTTTGATTAAAAATGTGCTTTTAAAAAAGTGAAAAGGGGGCACCTGAGTGGCTCAGTTGGTTAAGCGTCTGCCTTCGGCTCGGGTCATGGTCCCAGGGTCCTGGGATCAAGCCCCGCATCGGGCTCCCTGCTCTGCGGGAAGCCTGCTTCTCCCTCCCCCACTCCCCCTGCTTGTGTTCCCGCTCTCGCTGTGTGTCTCTGTCAAATAAATAAATAAATAAAATCTTTAAAAAAATAAAAATAAAGTGAAAAGTTTCCCTGCCTCTGGCTTTACTCCAACTGAGGAGACTTTACAGCTTTCCTGGACTTCTCAGACTGCTAACTGGAAAGAAAAGGTGACTTTTCCTCTGTGGACAGAGGCAACAGCTTTGTTTACCTTTTTTGTTTTGTTTTGTTTTTCCTACAAGGAAATGTTAAATTTAATTCTGGCCAGCCCATTTGTTTTTCTAAATTAGCCATTGCCAGAAAACAGACTGTGGGTGCTGAGGGGTGTGTTAGTGTGTGTGTGTGTGTGTGTATGTGTATGAGTGTTCCCTTCCTATACTTAGCAATGAAAATAAGTTGGAAGATGTTCATACACATCTAGCTAGGCAGAGAAAGTTCCTCTTCATCTTTCCATCAGTGCCCCTGGCATAGAGTGCGTGTTCAGTAATTATGTGTTGAATGAATCAAAAATTGAAAAATCAATTAATAAAAGAAAATGGGAGAATAAGAAAGGCCTGGACCTGTGTCTTTATTTGCAGGCACTATTCAAATACCTGGCCTCCTGGCTTGTTTTCTGGACATTGCTAAGACAGATCAGAAAAGGGGCATCTGGTCTATTTTTACACAATTACTGCTCCAAGCCCTCTGATTTGGAGGCTGGGCCAACTGACCCGAGACCCTGCCCTGCTGCAGGTCAGCCCCGGGGATCCTCAGGACAGGGTGGCCAATACGGAGCAAGGGCACCACCACCACCCACTGCCATGTCTGGGGTAGACCCACCAAGACGTAATTTCTCCCTGAGCCTAAAGAAAGCCTTGGAAGCCTTCCTTGTCTAGAACACCAAATGGGCACCCGCCCTCAGTCATCTGCCCGGGAGCCCTGTTACTTCTAGTTGCTACAGACAAGGCATTCTCTGAATTTTGCCTCAGCATACGAAGACCCGCTTCTGTGAGGGGAACCAAGTTACACAAGAACGACTAATGCGAACTTATCATTCAGTAAGCCCTTCCGTGCATAGCACAGTGCCGGGAAGCTAGGAGTGAAGTAAAGGCCCACACGCCCTTCCTTCAAGCTGCTCAAGATGTTCCTGGGGAGGCAGGATGTAGGTGCCCACCACGTGGTTGTAGGGACTGGTTACAGAGGCTTTCCGGCGAGGCCCCGCCGTGGACAGACAGGCAGAGGGGGGCAGAGCGGGCTGGGGTCAGGTAAGCAGAAGCAGCGAGTGCTGATAACCGAGGTTAAGGAGTCTGGGGCCTCCGGGAACACGCACTGGGGAGGTGGAGGCCATTGACGAGGGAGAACCTTAAAGGTGCCACTGTTCTGGGGCAGAAGAACTGGGATGGGAGGAGAACCACCCACAATCCTAAAAATGGGCTCATGGTCCTCAAGGTTGGGGGTGGGCCTAGGAGACTGCTGGGGAAGGGCACCGAGGCCCAGACGGTCTGTCTCTTCTCCCAGGGTGGAGGGGCACGAAGCTTGCTGGAGGGGAGCTGGAGGGAAGGCAGGCCCACGGGCCGCTGGGAGTCTCTCCTGCACTGAGGTTGGAGTACACGGGCCCAGGTAGGAGGTACGGACACCAAATGGAAACTCACAAGTGGTTTCCAACCAGGAACAAGCTGGCATCGGGGGCTTGGGAAAGGCCATGGAGGGGAATGTGGGCTCAAAATGGAACCAGGGTAGATGGGAGAGAAATGGAAAAGCTAATGATGGCAGGGAGGAGCCTCAGGACCCCAGCTCAGGAAAACCGAGGATACCCCACTCTCAGCAGAGGGGGCTACACACCTGAGAGCCTCATTCCCACTGTTTCTCCCACATTAAAAACACAGTTTCCACATCCCAGCTCATTTCCTACCTCCTGGTTCTAAGACGTTTCCAGTACGAATGCTAACTTGGAGCCAAATAGCAAGTTTTCCTGGTGCGTGTGATTCATAGGAAAAAGTCTCTTGGGCTATTAAAAGGGGGGGGGGGCGCGGTTTAAGGATTTGCGTTCAAAGCAAATTATATAGAAACTAAGCAAAGTGCATGTCATTCTGGCACTGAATACTGCTTTCCCCAAATAATGAGGCAGGAAAAATGAGCTCTGTAGTTAACATGGTGCGCAGATGTTCCAGAAAAGGATTAAATGCTTCAGAACAATGCAAATGAAACCTGGCTTAAACAGGTCAATCCACTGATAAATATGTGGAAGATGTGTTTATCTGCGAAACTCACATGTGCACGAGAAACGGAGCCTCTTGGCTACCTTGAACACACCTTATCGTGCCTGGAAGCCCCATTCCTGCTGAGGTTGGGGGAAGGTGCCTCAACCTGACAACAAAGGTCATGCCTGACTTCCTCCAGGCAGATCCTCTGAGGACCGCCTGGGACTGTCTTTGGCGACAGGGCCACCACACTCCACAGCCAGCCTGCGTGATGGGAGCATATTTACAAAGTATTAATTGAGGCCAGAGAGCCCGTAAACTACCAATTTCACCCTCCCCCCGACCCTGCTCCCTGCCCTCAAGCTACCACAGCTGTGGAGCTAATGGGGGGCACTCTTGATTGAACAGATAGAAAACTCTCACAGCAGAGAGTGGACCAGGGAGGGGAGGATGCCCTGCAAGTCCTCAGCTAACAATAACACTGAACCTAGAGGCAGCCTCAGAATCTTTCTGAACACGGCGTCCAGGGAGCTATTAATGAACCAGCTGGAGCAGGAACAAGAGAGGAATCCTATCGGCCGTTCTAGGAACCGGCAGCAAAGTGTCTTAGGATTCAGCAGGCCTGAGTTCAAGTCAGACCCCATCACTTGCATAATCTCTGACAGATAGTTCATCTCCACCTTGAGTTTCTTCATCTGTAAAATGGGAATGAAACCAGCCCCAGAGTCTTATGAGATTACAAATAGAAAATGTTTATCAGAATTACTGCACTTAGTGCGCATAATTAAATGGTGTCCATTAAACTGAAATTATTATTTTTCACTGAACTTTTGAGATCTAGAATTTCTAGAATTCATAAGTTTAGAGGGTATAAGAAACCGAGCTAATTCCATGAAACCTTTGTGCATTCAAATGCTTTTCCATTTGTTTAGAACGTTCAGAATGTCATATGCTACCGTGAAACATAAGTGAGTACGACCCGGTCTCATTTAGGTACATTTTAAACATGATGTTTTGAAGGTCAGTGTGGTTTGGTAATAATAAATTTTGCTGAATAAAAGGAGTACTTGGTGCATCATGTCTCTTACTGGACAGAACAAGTGGACAGAAGCACATGGTTATCTCAAATTATAACACCTACATATTCTTCACGTTTTCAAGTAATCCAGTGTCTCCAAGGTATCCCATAATTTTAAGTCCCATAAAGAAAATTGCATTCTGCGCACTCTGGATGGTGCTATGAAAAATCACATCATTGATGCTTTTCCTCCAGGATGTTATGAGTAAAAAACCAATGTATGTGCATTTCATCAATCCGCACTAAGTTATGTTACCTGTTAAAAAATGCCAGCACAGTTTCATGCACCGGAACCGTCTGGACTTTGTGGTTCAGTTGCAAGAAGACCCACAAAAGTAGCGTTTTCAGAAGATGAAACTCGTTAAAAGTGAACAACCTGGCCAAAATAAAAGAGAAGAAATTTTAGGAATAGCAACAACTCCCGCCATTTTTAAGAAAAAACAAAAAGTTAAGAGTTTAGGAATGAGGCAACACCACCCCTGAGTCTGTAGGTCACTTCAGACAGATGTGAAATGATGTTCTCAAGGTCATGGGAGCCGGTGAACGGCGGAGCTGGGATGTGACCCTCAGCAGCCTGACCCCCACCCGCTGCACTGCCAAAGAAACGGGCAGCTTTAATGAGACAGGTGTGCCCGAGATGTTCTCTTCTGTTCTTTCATTTAATTCCGTACAACAATCCTGCAAAGTTGGGATATACTCCTTACTCTTACAGATACATAAATTCAGACTGACCCTACGTTTATTTAAAATTTTAATATTTTGTTCGTCGTGGTTTTTTGCATTAATTTTGATTTTAAAACATTGCACCGCAATATACTTATCTCAGCAGCTGAGGTCTTTTGGTGCCCCCCTTAAATTTTGCGCCTGAGGTAAATGCCTCAATCCTCACCTCCTAGTCCCAGCTGGGACTGAGGGCAAAACACCTTAGTAAGTCCGCAGGATTCTGGGGGCAGGGCTGGGCGTGGGTCAGTGCAGCCCCAGGCTGGCTATGGAGCCTCCTGCAGGCTGCTCGGTGGCCCCACAGCCCCAGCTCCCTCATCCGTAGATAGTGGTGATAGAAGATGCTAGAAACTACGTGAGCGGCACAGATTCCTGTCCCTGCTCTAACAAACTGCCACGAACCAAGTGGCTTAAAACAACACACATTTATTATCTTATAGTTCTGGAGGTCAGAAGAACAAAACGGATCTCACTGGGCTAGGATCAAGGTATGGACCGCGTTCTTTCTGGAGGCTCTACGGAGAATCATTTCTTTGCTTTTTCCGGCTTCTAGAGGCTACTCACATCCCGCGGCTTGTGGCCCCTTGCTCCAACCTCAGGCCAGCAGCACAGCACCTTCCAATTTCTTTCAGGCTCTTGAAAGAAAGCCTCTGTCTTCCTCTGTCTTCCTGCCTCTGTCTTCCAGGTGCAAGGATCCTTGGGATTATTATTGGGCCCATCTGGGTGATCCAGCACACCCTCCCCAGCTCAAGGTCATCCACCTGCGACCTTCTTGCCCTTTTGCCGTGCAACCTAACATAGTCACAGGCTCTGGTTGGGACGTCATTATCGAGCTGACGGCACACACACGGGTCATTCGCGCAGTGCCTGGCACGGAGGCGCATGCTAGCGAACGGCAGGTCTGCCTCCTAAGGGGCAGGGCTGGGTCCTGGCTGCAGAGCCCACGCTCCGCCCACAGTGGTGTGAGACTTCTTATCTAGAAACAAGTGGTGAGAAAGAGCAAGTGTCACCCCCCCCAACGTCAACTCTGTAAAGTGAGGAGGTCTCCCAAAGAGCTTCTCTAAAGCCTCCAACAACTTGACTATCTAACAGGTCATTTCAACATGTCTTAAACCCCTGGATGTTTCCCATCTTGAGCATGGGGACGGCACGCTGGCTTCCAAACCTCTCGTAGCCGCTGCACCCACCACTTTGAGTGGTCTTGGTGGGTGGGACCCAAGCTAAGTGGTGACTCTAAAGGGAAGTGGAAATGTCACCCACCCACCTTTCACACTATTTCTGGCCACAAGAGAACGTCTTTTTGCTCTTATTTGTTTTTAGGCCACCTACAGATGCATGGGCTTTGACGCTGGCCAGACAGGACCAAATTTGTCACTGTCTGGGCCATGATGGTGAGAATGATGGGGGATGTCACAGAGCCACTTAGGATATGATGTGCCCACACAGAACTCCACCAGGACACCAACCAGCTCTGGTTGGGGAGCTACATGACTCCTGGTGCAAAATCCAAGCCCCAGGTCCCCAAGCCCCGAGGAGCAGGCAGCAACATGGGAGGAGTCACTGGGGCTCCATGAATCAGGGTCCTGGTTTTACTTTTATTATGATGAGTAACTGTTCAAATAAAGCCCCCTGTCTTTAAAGATTTATTTATTTATTTGAGAGAAAGAGAGAGCGTGTGCATGCATAGTGGGGGAAGGGCAGAGGGAGAGGAAGAGAGAATCTTTTTTTTTTTTTTTAAAGATTTTATTTATTTATTTGACAGAGAGAGACACAGCGAGAGAGGGAACACAAGCAGGGGGAGTGCGAGAGGGAGAAGCAGGCTTCCCGCAGAGCGGGGAGCCCGATGCGGCGCTCGATCCCAGGACCCCGGGATCATGACCTGAGCCGAAGGCAGACGTCTAACCGACTGAGCCACCCAGACGCCCCAGAAGAGAGAATCTTAAGCCAACTCCGCACTGAGCATGGAGTCTGATGTGGGGCTCGATCTCAAGACCCTGAGATCACGACCTGAGCCGAAAACAAGAGTTGGATTCTTAACTGACTGAGCCACCGGAGGTGCCCCAAGCCCTCTGTCCTTAGGCTAAGTACCAGTACCCTAAAGTACTGATTCTTGCTGAGGACAGTCAAACATATTTTCATTTACTTAGGAGCTCTGACGGCCTCACAGAACCCACAGAGACCCTGAACTTCCCTCCCACACAGGTGAACATCTGGACTGTTCTATCTGCGTTTACTGGTGCTCACTAGTGGCCGTTGGGAGGTAACTGGTATTTGTTCTTTAAGAGAAAAATGTTAACAAGACAGTTTGTCTTTTTTTTTTTAGAAAATTGTACATAATAAAGGCCCCCGTTTGAGTACAGACTACAGAGAAAGCAGTATCACTACAGACAAGAAAGCATGACCAAGAGTGCCTACGGCAGTCTGATGGCCCCAACAAAAAATGAAGCAAAATAAAAGGCCATTAGGAAGGGAATGAAAAATTGCTATCTGTTCATTCACCGGAACCCTGTACAACAACAAATTTAAAATGCTAATTAGATACGTAAGTATCAACATGGAGAGAACACATCACATTATGTCAGTAAATAAAGTAAGCTGCAGAACATTGCAGTCACTATGAGAACACTGATTTGAAGTTCAAGCCTTTACGAAACGATATTACACATTATTTATGGACACGCATATATGTAGTAAGAATATAACCACATCGATTGGGCTCATGCAGGCCCACGACAATGGTCTGATTGTCTTTAGGGAGGGAGGGAGGCCAAGAGGATGCTGCGGAGGGAGCATGGTTGATTTCTGCTTTATTGGTAATGTTCTCTTTCCTATGACAAAATGTCATTGTTCATTTTGGGAGGTGGGTCCAATTGTGTTTTCTATTCTCCTCCTACCTTTAAAATTTTTTTACAATAAAAACTAACCATCAATATCCTTATTGATCTTGATTATCAATAGGGAAAAATGAGTCCTCGTGCAGAGCACAGCAGTGGCCTGGGCCGGTAAACACCAGGGGCTTTGAGGTCACTCAGACCTGTGTTCAAATCCCAACTCTCATGCTGCACGCAGGGAATCTGAGCCAATCCTTTCATTTCCCAAAACCTCCATTCCACACGTGAAAACACAGGTAACAGTACCCACCTCACTGGGTGGCTGGAGGAGTTAGGCTGATAACCCACTCAAAGTATCCTGTATACCACAAGTGCTCAATAGTTGGTAGATGGCGTTGCCATTAGCCAGAGAAGCATCAGCTTGAGGAACTGTTATGTTTGAGAGCCACGCCCCACGGTGCTCCAGATGTGGGACAGGCCTGCCGTGGAGGACAGGGTTGGCTTCTCCTGGGAACTCCTGAGCCCTCAAGCCAGACGGTGTCATGGGCAGGAAGCCAGGGAGAAGTGGGCAGAGCCTGGGTTGTAGGGCAGTTTCCTGTGCAGATAGGAACTGGATAGCTGATGGAGTTTTCCACTTCTCCTAAGTCTACCAGGAGCTTGGCTTCCAGAAAAGCAGAACTTGGAATGCAGCTTTCATAGTATTAGAGTTCACGGACCAGGGTAACCTAGTGGTGACCTCTAAAGAGAAACTTAACTGGCAACCCAAGGCCCAGGCAAAGAAATAAAAACCCAGAGGCCCCAGAGGTCAGGAAAATTGTATTTTATGCGACGCTGCTTATGAAACCCAAAGGAAGATGAGGTCAAAGGGCTTCAGAAAGGGAAGGTGATTGGCCCAGAAGCTGAAGCATCTGCTGAGATGGACGTTGTTCCCATGAGGCTTAGAGACCCAAACACCATGACCACAAGCCGGGGGACGGGCCACTCTCTACACTAAGTGGGCCCGGGGGATGCGCCATCCCTGACCCCTCATGGGCTGGTACTGCCACCCAGCTGCTCTGGGGCCATGTGACTTGCCAGGACAACCCAGTCCTAGCAGAGTTCTGGTTGCTGGGCAGCGTGGCCTCCAGAGCAAATGAAGAGACGGTACAGCGTGGAGGGTGGGAGGCTGGACTTTGGAGCCTGAGCCCTGGGCTTGAGCCCAGCCCTGCCTTTTATTATCCCTCTTATCTTAGGGACAGTAACTGTACCTATCACACAGGGCTGCGGGGGTTTGGAAGGGACAGTGCACAGAGCAAGGCACATACCCCAAAGTGCTCGATAAACATGAACGCATCCAAAGGTTTGTTCTTAATCAGCTGCGGTGCAAGGTGCCAGATCCACCAGCCGATGAGCGTGCCCAGGTGAGGAGCCCGAGCCCGGGTAAATGTCTCACAACCCTACCAGGCGCCGGGTATGGCTGAGCCCCATCTTCCAGCACCTTCTGTTCCCCACCTCCCTCCAGCTTCAAAGCAGGTGGCCGCTGGACATCACCAGGGCGGCCGAGGAGAATCTGCCTCCGGGGACGTGAACTTGAGATCTGGGCGCAGTCGGCCCGGTGTCTCCAAGGCACACAAGCTGATGACGTGCTCGAGGTCACGCAGGGCTCTTCCCTCCTACTGCTGGGACGGCTCTGGACTGGCGTAGACATCTCCTGGGGAGGGGCCGGAGGAGCAGGACCCCATTCCCACATCAGTCATGTCTCCCCAAGTTTGTGCGTCTAGACGCTTGACGTGGAATGTACTTGACCTCTTTCCCTGGCTCGTGAACGTTTTGTAAGGCCCATTTCATCACCGGGGTTCTGGCTGTGGTCAGAAAATTTTTCCCTTTTCTTGGTTAAATGCTACCAGGGTGCAACAGCTCAGTCTTTCCAAGGGAGGGACAGCATTAGGAAAAGTCTAAGGGATGCCATGTTTATCTTTTCTTCAACGGTTGCGTAACCTTTGCTCTGCTGGAGGGTGGGGGAGGGCACATGTGGGGAAAAGCAGCAGGGAGTGGGGCAGAACGACACCAGGAGCCCACCCAGGGCCCCTCGGGGTGCTCCCGGGCTGGGGTTCCCGAGGTCCACCTGATAATACAGTCTCCCTCAACACCAGAACTCTGTTTTAGCAACCTCCTTTCTCTTTAAGTGTGAGGGCATTGCAAGCCACTCAGTAAATTCAAACCAACAGTGGAATGAATCCGTCCAGATCTAATTTCTGAAATCAGAATGCCTTCCATCCCATAAGCGTGAGTAAACATTTCATCTCTAATATACAGCTAAAATATTTAGAATTTACTTCTCGCTTTTGAAATTCACCCTGAGGGGATACAATCTTGGTAACTTGGCAATGGGTATCAAGAGCCTTTTAAAGAGGCCCAAAGAGGGGCGCCTGGGTGGCTCAGTCGCTAAGCATCTGCCTTCGGCTCAGGTCATGATCCCGGGGTCCTGGGATCGAGCCCCGCATCGGGCTCCCTGCTCAGCGGGAAGCCTGCTTCTCCCTCTCCCTCTCCCCCTACTTGTGTTCCTTCTCTCGCTGTGTCTCTCTCTGTCAAATAAATAAATAAAATCTTTAAAAAAATAAATAAAGAGGCCCAAAGAGTCCTGACAAGTAAATGCAATCTGTCACCCTAAAGCAGACCCTGCGCTGGATGAAAGAACATCATAAAGGAGAGCACCGGGCCCACGATGTTAGGTATTCACATCAGTGCTGCATTGCTTGCAGTTGATAACTGCATTGTGACCACATTAAAAAGTTCTTTTTCTCAGCAAATAAACACTGAAGCATTTAAGAGAAAGGGTACCTGATGCATGCACCTTGCCCGCAGAGGCTTCAGAAACAAGATGTGTGTACGTAGCTACACACAGATGCAGATGATCGAGCAAACAGCAGAGATTGAAAAAAACAGGGTAAAGGGCATATAAATATTCTTTGTACCATTCCTATAATTTTTATTTAAGTTTGAAATTGTTTTCAAGTGATACTTTTCACTTGTGACAAAAACAGAAAGTCCTTACACTTCTAGAAATTTAATGTGGGAAAATGAGATAAAGACATATTTGTTGAAGGATGTCACCAAGGCGCTATATTTATATTGGTAAAACGCTAGAAATAACCTAAAAGTTCAGGCACTGGGGACATTTCCATGAATTACTCGAATGACCAGAACGAGCCAGCCAGGAGCCAGGCATTTCAGACAGGAGGGAGAGCATACCCATGGGTGGCATGTGCTCAGCAGGGCTGGAATCTAACGTAGCCCCATGGATGCCTCGTGGCTGGTGAGATGGAGGGGCAGATGGGCACACCAAAGGCCCTTCGGCTACAGACGCTCTTGATGGGGGTCAAGAGCAGACACAAGACCCTGAGTTAGAGGTCCCTGCAGTGGTCCAGACAACAGTTGATGGAGGTCTGGCCTCTGGCTGGTGCCCAAGAAGAGAAGCCCATAGAGATGGGCTGGGTCTGGAAGTGTTACTGATGCACTAGGGGGTGAGGGCCAAGTGGTGTGCGGAAGGACTCCCAAGGTTCTAGCTTGAGCAGCTGGTGGAGGAACACAGGGTGGGGCCCCAAGGGTTGGGTGTTAGCTTGAGTTGTCAGGTCAAACAGAGGTCTGGGTCAGAGCTGTTTGGGAGAGGAGTCAGGGCTAAAGCTAGGAACTGATTTAGGGTGAGAGGTTTTATTTTCTGTCTTCTGATTTTCTCTGTTTCCCATTTTCCACAGTGAATGTATATTAATGTTGTCAGGATGTTTTTTTAATTACATAGGCAATTACTGAATTATTTACCATACGGGTAACGAGACAGCAGGCACCCAGAGGGTTAGGGAAGTCCATCCCCATCCCCACCCCTGCTACTCCACGTTTTGGCCCCCACCTGGGGCTGGCTGTCCAGGATGGTGGCGAGTTTGGGATGGAGCAGGTGCTGAACCCTGGGCCTGGCCATCAGAGGCATGGGTGCGCCCCACTGGAGCACCTCCCTCCCAGGACCAGCCCTGCTGCCCCAGGCCCACTCCAGGCTCAACTCCTGGTCCCACACACACCACCCCTGGGGACCAGCTCTGACCTGGGGGACCGCAGCACTTTGTGGAGCAGCTCCTGTGGGATTTTCCGGAGGTGGATCTGTGTCCCCACCAGAGGGACCAAGTTCATTTCCAGCCACTTCTCGCAGGCAGTGGTGAGCGGCTCTTCCTTGTACTGAGAAGGAAAAGAAAAGCCAATGGATAAAAAAGATCCCTGGCCTCTCGGCGCCCTCTGCTGGCCTGTGGCTATTCTACAAGTGGGCTCCCAGGAGTGTCCTGCCGCAGACGCGCTCAAACCTTTTCTTCCAAATACATAAACTGCAGCAGATAACGTTTTTGGAGTGTTTGCTCTGCTCCCGGCCCTGCACTAGGTTGATTTAAGTTAATCCTCACCACGATCCTATGTGGTCGGTTCCTTATTATCCCTATTTTACTGATGGAGAAACTGAGGCCCCAAGATTGTTGCTTTTGCCAACCGTCATACAAGCAGCAAATGGCGGAGCTGGGAGCAAACCCCGGTGGTCTGACCACAGGGTTGCACACTGAAATCACTGGGCTAAAGTCAGTCACTGATCATGGAAGGGCCTGCAGCGTGTACCCCACAGGGAGGCTGGTAGGGGCATGTACCCTAACATCAAAGTCCAAAGAAAATGAGAAAGTTCTCCCAGGGCCAGGGACCTCGACAGGGTCTTAGTACACCTTACAGGTCCTCGGGGTGACAGTCCTTCCAAGGCCAAAGAGTGACGTTCTAGTTCCTGATGGCGTGAAGGTGAGGGCACCGCATTGTCTTTGACAAAAGACGCAGTGAGTACCTTCTTAGAGGCCATCACGAGGGCACTGTGATGTGCTGATTGTTCGCGAACTGAACGTGACGGTCAGATGTGCCTGTTTCCTGGTCAGTGGTGGCCTCACAGAGGAAGGCTGGGACCAGAGGGCCTGGGGTTCGAGCCCAGCACCGCCACTCAGAAGCTGTCACCCTGCTCGGGTTGCTCCCCTCCTTGGGTCTCAGTGTTCTCCTCTGATAATGTGACCCTTAAGATGATATCATTTATTGCCCATACAGACACAGTGACTGGCCTGGGCAGGCAGACACACACAGTTTCACCCGACTCCAACAGAATGTCCTGGAAGATTGTTATTTTGGTGAGAAAGGCTGTGCTTTTATTTGCCCCCCTAATTTTAAGGCTTTTTTCCCCCTCAATTTAAAAAAAAAATTTGGTTTTAAAATGTCCTTTTAAAATAAAATTATTTTTAAAATTGTTTCCTTGGCAAAACAGAATATCGGTACCCGTAAGTGGGTGCTTTCAGAGAGATTTTTTTTGGAGCTGGGCCTGGTGGGTAAAATCCCAGAGCCTGAGGTGCTTTGCAGGTGCCCAGGTGTGATGTGCTCTATCCAGGTTACCCTCACCTTACAGCCGGCCAGGTAGAAGTTCTTGATGGTGCTTGGCATGAGTCCGTTCATCATCATGACCACACACCTGCAGAGAGAGAAGTGTGGTTCCTGGAGGGCCCCAGGCTGCTCTCAGCAAAGCTGGCAACCCCAGAGGTTTGCGTCAACTCCAGGATGGTGACAGGGGTGGGAACCGAGGTGCAAAAGGGGGTGTGTGGAAGGTGCTGGTCCCGCCGCCCACCAGGCACGGTGTTCTTCATGTGCTGGCTTTTGCCAGTGAGACACTCGAGCAGAATTAGCTGGGTTTGGGGTTGGGGTACAGAAATTGGTGCTCCAGGAGGCTGACGTGCTCACATGTGCTCCCCCTTTCTCACTGTCAGGCTCATTGGCCAGGCTTCCCCAGATCAGGGGACACGAGGCAAGCCTGAAGCACACACATACATGCATGCTCGCAGCGAGCCTGATCCCAGCTCTGCCAGTGCAGTGATTCATGCACGAAACCAAGGAACAGGACCCGCTGGAACCTGCACGCACACACCGCACCCCCCGAAGATGCGCGGCCTTGGCGGTGTGGGATCCAGACCTAAGCAGCCATCGGGGTGATTTTGCACCTTGCTGGGAGCTCAGGCAAGATGACCTTTGAGGTCTCGTCCAGCACCTGGATTTGTGATGCTATCAGGGTGACCCAGGGCATTTCTGTTCCGCTACACACACATACTCACACACACACATGAATCCCCCCAAACACACACACACACACACACACACACACACTGGGGCTTGTGCTTCCACACCCCTGCCAAACTGTACCATCAGCCCCTCAAAGGCAGGTAAAAGTCAGCCCAGCTGCGTGCCAGGCCCACCTGGATCTGACCTGTAATACCCGCCACAACTCTCTGGAGAATCTTGTGCAAGGCCCATCTGCCCCAGGCAGGCCACGGTTTGCTCATCCATGCAATGACGGCTCATTATCTCCAAAGCCCTTGCTCCTCTGACCTTTAAACCAAGTCATGGGGTGGAGGAAGGAAAATGAAGGACCTGTCATTCTTGGCTCAGCCACAGATCGCCCAGGGCTGGGGCTCCAAGAGTAAGCTGGGGCTTCAAATCTGGGCCCGAGGTAGGGGAGCTGGCACTGACAGACAGAGGCTGCAGACCCTGCTCCAAGGGGAGGCTCACCTTCCAGCTTTCGGGTCAGAGATATCAGAGCACAGGAAATAGCTGCCCAGGAATGTCCTGAGCAAGGAAGCTGTGATTTAGGCATTATTTTTACTGCTGCGCTGAGCTGCAGATGGGTGGTGCATGCAGTGCAATGGGGTGTGGCAAATCTCAGCAAAAGCCAGACCTTCAGCCCCGGTGTAGTTAGCCCCGGACCCTGCATGACCTGGCTCTGCCTACACCAGCTGGTCTCCCACCTCCCACAGTCACCCACCCTGCAGTCAGGCCAAGCCAACGTGCTGGGACACCTTTTCAAGACTCTGGTCCCCTCAGTTGTCACATCTAGGCCTCTGAGAGCCTGCATCCCTCAGTTCCCATGGCATCTGCATCCCCGATAAGGCTTCTTGATACTCCTGATCGAGTGTCTGGCCTGAGTCATTTCAGGTACCCCAAGAAGGAGATATTGGCTCAAAACCATCTTCAGGGTTGTACCTGACTGTGTGGATTCTACAGAAAGTGAGCTGAAACCAGCACGAGCCTCAGGAGTGATCCTGCCCCGCCCTTTACAGAGAAGCCGATGTCCTCTTCTGACTTGGTTCATTCATTCATTCATTTCCTCAAATAAAGATCCTGAGGCAGAGAGTGGAGCAAGCCACAGGCGGACCATCGCTGCCCGGAGTCCCCTCTCTGTGTGGAATCCCATCAGGTACTAGGAAATCGAAGAGCTGGAAGATACCACCTCGGGGTTCGGGACGTGAGTGCAGTAGGCACACATCCCTGGAGAAGCCCGAGGGAAGGCACAAAATATTCTAGAAAAACTGAATCCCATCAACGATTTTCCATTTGGTTCACTTACCCTTTCCTAAATGTTACTGGAATGAAGCAATATTACAGGATACAGAAAAGGGGAATTCTAAGAACTGTTCCGGTTAATCACAGGGACCTGTTTACTTGAAATTAATCATACATAACACAAAATGTTCCACTTGGGATCCCCATCCTTTGTTCCACTTTAGTCATTTCCTGTGCCCTGGAGACTGTAGGGCAGGAAGCGCCAGAGAGCAGGGACTCTGTCCCTCCGGTCCTCACTGTTCCCGGTGTCCTGGAGGCATCGTTCTTAAAGGAGCAGGGAAGTGATTGAAGGTGTGATGGAATAAACTGGCAGGTGACTGGCCCCCAGCAAACCCGGCCTCACCAAATGCCGCTGAAGGGAGGGGAGCAGGAAGGCTCCGACCCATGAGCAAGCAGGTGACACCGCCACTTCACCTGAGCTAAGCAGAAACGGACAGTGTTAGGGGTCCAGGTTCTGGGGCCCCTCGACTTCCTGCAAGTTCTGGCTGATCTCCTGTGGCCTTGAGCAAATTACCCACCTCACGAGGCCTCCGTTTTCTCTCCTGTGAAGTGGACATAGTCACGTACCACCTCCTAGGGCTGCAGGGAGGCTGAATGAGGTCACCCTTGCCAAGAGCTGACGACAGTGTCTGACTACGGCAGATGCTCCATCTCAGAGCACATCCCCTCACCCCCAACAAAGTCCTGTGAAGTAGGGCAAATGTAAAGAGCCCCATTTCACAGCTGAGACCACTGAGGCACGTAAGAACAAGGAACAGCTTACCACAGGGCAGAGCACAGCCCCTGCTGCTCACACCCTTGGTTGCTTTTGGCTCTGCAGAAAGTCTAATGAATGGGGAGCTTTGGGGCACCCAGGTGGCTCAGTCGGTTGAGCGTCCAACTCTTGATTTCAGTTCTGGTCATGGTCTCGGGGTCGTGGGGTCGAGCCCTGAGTCAGGCTCCGTGCTCAGCACAGCGTCTGCTTGGGATTCTCTCTCCCTCTCCCTGTGCTCGCCTCTAATCAATCAAATCTTAAAAAAACCAAAAAACAAACAAACAAACAAAAAAACAGAAAAGGAAAAACTGGGAGCCTCTGAATCTCCACCCCCAGAGCTGCATTTCACCCTCACACCTTCAGCACCTACACGTTCTCTCGGTGCCCATGGACCCAGGCAACCGTTGGCAGGTTGAGCAAGCTTTCACATTCGATGCCAATCCACTGTAAACGCCTCCTGGTTCCCCCGTCTCGGCCCCCGCCCCTTGACGGGCAGCCCAGGTGGGCCAGCGGGTCTGAACACCCAGGAGAAAGGCTGCGCCCCAAAATGGGCAGCCGGGTTGGTGGGCAATTTGGGCTTGGATTGTTGCATTTGTCTCTCTTCTGGAAGATCTATGATGACCGTGTGTAACATTTGTAAGAATAAAAGTATTACATACAAAGAAAAACAAGTGGGAGAAGTAAATCCGGACAGTGAAGAGTCAGCTTGTCTTCAAAGGGCCAGCTGAGGTGTGTGCGCCCGAAATAAGAGGCTTGTTAGTTACAAGTGAACGCGGGCGAAACTGACAAGCAAGCATGGTTTGCGCACCCCTGGGAGGTCACCCCGCACACCCGTAGAGTATCTCGCAGGCAGAGAACCCATTTGCATTGCATGCCGTGAGTCAGGACTGATTGGCTGGAAGGAGCATGTTGCTGGGGCCGTGGCTCAGTTGTGAGCTCACCACGTGTGAATTAGTGCCTCAGTTCCTCTGCGGACTCACAGCTGTGCTCTGTGCAGAGAAACCCACAGAAGAGAAACGTTCTACGAATGGGCCAGGAGGGCCCCCTTCTCCCTTGCCCAGGGCTGGCCCGGGCCCGCACCCTGCCATGCTTCTTACCTTTGAAACAGGCTGTTGAACTGGAGGATGTGTGCGGAAGCCAACAAGCCCAGCACGTCATCCATGTCTACCTCCACCTCGCTCAGGTAGAGGCTCTTCAGGGCCGTGGCGAAGGCTGGGGGAGCCGTAGCCGAGAGAGAAAGCTGTCAGCTTGTGGCTCTGCACCCTGCGTCCCTTACTGGCGGGTGCCCTCCCTGCTGGATGCTCAAGTGTCCCCAGCTAGGTAGGCAAAGGTGCCCTTAGAGGACCTGAGCGCAGATCCAGTCCGGCTTCCACCCTCCCCAAAGGAGTCGAGGAGGGAGCCCAAGAAAATCCAGCTTCTGCTGAAAGAATGCTGCTCTAAGCCCATCCTGGCGTCTGTGCCTCAGGGGTCCTCCGTGAACCTGGGCTCCGCGTGCTGCCCAAATATGTGCAGAATGCCGTGTGCGTGTGGGTGTGCTTTCTCCTCTGGAGAGGACGTTTAGCTTACAGCAGATTTTCCTCAGAGCCTCCAAAAAGGTTAAGGGGTCTTCAAAAAGGCTAAGGACTCCTGGCAAGAGCCAGGATGATGTCATGTCGAAGAACTGAGCTCCCGTGACCGGGAGCAGAGGGACTGGGCTTATTCTAAGTTAGTCTACCTGATCCCAATCAGCACTGCAGCCCGGCCCGGTGCTCTCTGAGGACAACCGGCCTGCCCAGGGCTTCCGCGGATGGTGTCCTGACCTGCAGATCCGCAGACCATGACGGCATGCGGCTGCAACACGTGCCGCATTAAGACAGAAGTCTGTCTCTGTTTCCAGGTGGCCAGGCTGGGGCAGGAGAGGGTGAGCCCAGCGAGGGAGGGGCGTGTGCGGTGCTGCCCGGGGAGGGCGGGCCACAGGGCTTCCCTGTCATCGGGTCTGTCTGACCCAGTGCCTGCTACTTTCTTCCTCCTTGGCATCCTCCACACCTCTTTCCAGGGGATGAGCACCTCTCTCTAGCACCTTCTCTGCTCCGCTCAGCTATTTCTAATAAGGAAGGACTGAACACTGTGTGCCACTTGTTTGTTGTTCTATTGTTTGTTTTTAAATCTGGGAGGGCTGTTGGTTCAATGGCATTCTCGGCATAAGAAGACAGGTGTACATTACCAACTTTAGTGACCAGGGGGTCATTGATCTTCAAGGAAATGATCATCTTCTTTATGGGGGGTCTTTCCTTGACATTCCCACGCAACTGAGCTGGTAAAGGAAACAGATGGGTATGTCAGGACCCGATTGTTGCAGTGAATTGTGTAGGATACAGCGTGAGGTCCCCTGGCCCTTTGTACAGCCTTGACCTTGGCATTCACTGCTCCATGTTTTGTTTCTGTTTGCTTGTTTAGGGGATGCACTTTTGAAATGATTATTTAGAAATAGCTGAAGACTCCTAAGAAGTTGCAAAAACAGTTCAGAGCTCTCGTGCCCTCCTCGGCCACCTTCCCCACTCATCTCACTCAGCCACTACAGCTGCCAAAACTGGGAAACGGATGCTCTCAGTGCATGAGATATTTTTTACTGGGCCCTGCCCCGCTCCCTCTCTCTCCCCACCTCCTTCCCCTCTCTCTTTAGGCTGTGAGCAGTTTGAGGGCAAGGAGTGGGCTTCTGTTACCTCTGCATCCCCAGCCCAGACCTGGCACAAGATGGGACAACAGTGACCACCTGCTAAAGGATGAGCATGGGATGGAGGCAGTCGCCTAGCGGCTGTTGGAACTTTGCCCCACCAAGGGCTCCCAGCAGGCAGGAAGGGCAGCCTGATTCACCACCCACCTCCCCCAGCCACTCACACTTATTCTAAAATGGGAGTTACAACACCTACGGCTCTCAGGTCTCCAGTGGCATCCCAAGCCCTTGGCAACAAAGCCAAAGTGCCCCCCCAGTGGCCCCAAGACCACTAGTCTCTGGCTCACTGGACCCCAAAACTGCCTCCTTGTGGCTTATTCCATAGAAGAGCCGCGGGGCTCCAGCCCTCCCCGTCAGAGATCCTGACTCCGTTCGTAAGGCGGCACCCCACCCCTACCTTCCCCCCAAGTGGCTTGATTTTTCCTCCCAGACCCACTATTACCACCACCTGTTACCACATCTGGTCTCTGTCGGGCTGGCACACTGGATGGTTTCCTCACCACTCCCTCCCCAGGCCCCGACACAGTCTTGCACACACTGGTCCTCAGTAAATGTCGGCCGAAGTAACAGAATGAGGGGATTCTGTCAGCAGAATCCCAAGCCTACTGAGCTCAAGGTTCTACGTAATGAAAAACGACACGAGTCGGGATCCAAAAAAGGATGTCACACTGCGAGCCACAAAGACCACAGAGAAAAGGGGGAGAACAAAGATCCGTTCTCCTCGGGCAAGCAAGGCTGTTGAGCCTTTCCTCACCATGCTCACGGCCCCTGGTCTGCTCACCCTGTCATTTGGCAAGTATTTACTGAGCACCTGCTGAGTGTCCGGCCCTGTTCTCTGCTCTGACTCCTTTTCCTCCAGGATTTCAGGACTTCCTCCTGCCTGCACGAGGCGCTCTGTCGCTCACCCATGCTAGGGCCACAGACGAGGCACTCTGGAGGTGGTAGTTTCTCTCACGACGGGTCATGCTATTCCCTGTGCTTTATCATCATTTTGGGTTGGCTTGTCCATCCCCCAACTCCCTGACACAGAGTTCCTAGCACAGTGCCTAGGGTAAGTTAAGCGCTCAACATTTGTTGAGGGAAGAAATGAATATTATCTGCTAGGTCAGAGTCAGTGGGAGACAGAACTTCAACGTTGCCTCTGTTTTACTGAAAACCTCAAAATCGAACAGGAAAGTAGTAATTCAGTCATGTGCTTCTGAGGTACTCTGAAACCAAGTGGTTCCTTTTTAGTAAGAGAGTACCGTATCCTTTTGGGGGTTCCTCCTAGAGAATAAATGGGTCCTGCTGAAGTACAGCTCATCCTGGACTCTTGGAGGAAGGAAAATGAGCAGCTGGGAGAGCCGTGCGTGGCCAGGACAGGGACGCTCGCGGGGGGGCTGTCTCCGCACAGCACCCACCACTCCAGGACAGGAGTGCACAAAGCAGTAGTCGTGAGACCATCCAAACTATCACTGTGGGGCACGTCCTGCTTCGGCAGGAGCACGAAGGCTGGTGGCCGTGTCCACTGAACACCATGGGCACACGATCCCTAGGACCGGGCACAGACCCTGAAAGTTGTGACAGTCTGGGCCGCGGTGAGGGGGAGGGGCTCTCATCTCAGCGCCTATCCAGATACCCCCCAGGCAGGCCCAGCCTCCAGCAGGGGGCTTGGAGCAGAGTGGCTGTCTTAGCCGGGCCCAATCTTTTCAGTGAGACCCTTCTAGAATGTCAAAGACCAAAGTATTAACAGTAACTCCGTTTTCTTTTTCCAAATTCTCTTGCTTTTCAGTGCATTCATGTCTGGATCTCCATGGCTTTTCCTTGGGTGCCTGGGGAGTGTTCTGACCTAGGCGCAGGGGACACAGAAGGAGACGCTCAATCCCACTCTCAAAGACACTGGGACAAACGCTTGGAAGGAGCAAAGAAGATTGTCACGTGAGTGTGAGGGTCGTCCCAGTGCTGGGGAATGCCGCAGCCTGCTCTCAGCTCCCAGCTCAGCAGCTCAGTGGGGAAGGGCTGAGTCAGAAGGCTTGTGGCTGGGCTGAATCCGGCTGGCAGCCAGGCCCTCTCTCCAGGCTCAGGGTGGGGCAGCAGCTGGGGGGCTGGCCAGCCTGTCTGGCTCTGGAATAACAGAGCTTTGCTGCCACATCCTGGAAATGGAGTCCCAACCCGCCTGCTCAGCTGGTTGGCTTTGGAGACCTTGAATTTTCCATGGCACCTGCTTAGGAGTCATCTTGAAATGATGCCAATCTGTATTACCCAAAGAAGGCAGTCTGTCTGGAGAGGAACTTAAGGAACACAGAGGGGAGCCTGGCGATTACTAGGGTTGAAAAAGGAGAAAAAGAAAGAAAGAAGTGGCCTGAATAGTTTATGGAATGACATGAAGTTACGAAAAGAGAGAGCAAAGGAAACATAACATCGACATACACATGAAAACTCTAACCAGCCAGATGTCAGAACTATGCCTTCCTTCCAGAAAGCCCATCAAAAGACTCAACACAACCGTTCGCTCTTCTCAAAGAAGTAGGTAGTAGGTAGAGCCTCCATTTCAGCTGGCTGGGCAGGATTGGGTTATTATGAGAATAATAAATGACATTTCCTGAGTGCCCAGGCATATGCTCTAGAACCTCACAGCTATTTACCTTCTCTAGGCTTCAAAGCAATATAGTGAGAACAATTATTCCCATGTTATAGCTGCAGACCGAGGTTAATGTGATGAGGTCACACCATGGGCCCTGCTCTTATCTGCCGGAGTGACCCTGGTCTCCAAACAGATGACCTAACGCCAAGCTGGGGACCCTCAAACCAGAGGGCATTTGGGGCTCTATGCTGGGTGCCAGTAAGAAAATACCTCGCAGAAGCCTCTCCAGTTCCTTTGTGGGGCTTGTGGTGCCCTGGGCCAGTGCCAGCAGGTAGAGCTTGGCCAAGGTCTTGGACTGGAAAAGCTGGGGCTGGTGGAGTTCCCATTTGGAGCCAAGACATGTAAGAATCACGTCTAAGGAGAGAATGCCGTGATGAGTAGGCAGTTTCATGGCGCCCCTTCCAAGAGACATGTCAACCCCTCCCACCTTCCATTCCAGCGCAGTCACAGAGCAGATGGGTAGGGGCCGGGGGGTGGGGGGGCTTCACTGGGCTGTTCCAGGAACAAAACAATGAAGACTCAGGGCACTAAGTGGCCCCCAGGGGATACAATGAGCAGCCTCACAAGGTAATAAAGAAAGAGATAAGTATCAGAGAGCAGCTGACCCACAGCTGTAGGACTTTAGAGGCATATGAGCTGCCCTCCAGTTGGGGAATTAGAAAGGCTTCATGGGGAAGGGACACTGGCTGGGACACTCTTGGGGGCCTCACCGTGCCTTCCCATTGCAGCATTTCTCATCCTCGGCACCGTTTGTATTGGGGGCCACGTAATTCTCTGTCGTGGGGGGCTGTCCTGTGCCTTGTAGGTTACTCAGCAACATCCCTGGCCCCCACCCACTGGATACCAGTAGCACCCTCCCCACTAAGTTGTGACAACCCCAAATGTCTCCGAGCATCGCCAAGTCTCCCCTGGGAAGGGGTCTCGCTACCCAGTCCCCTGTTGAAGCTATTGGGCATTGGTGCTTAGTTATCGGCCACCTGAAAGGTGACACCAAAGTGCAGCTCAAAGGCCCATCACCAGGAGGCAGAGTCCTTGTGAGCCTCACTTTCCTCGAGGGAGTGGGGATCCCCCAAAAAACCGAGCTCACAGGTGTGAAACAGGATTACAAAGTAAAGGAGCTTTTTTGCAAACTGTAAGGGGCTTTATGCAAAGGGCTTTATCTCATCCTTGGATGGCATAGATGATTAAAAAGAGAGAGCCTTTGACAGGAGGGCAGATGGAGGATCCAAGGATACCTGGCCATGTGAGGCATGAGAGGCTGTGGGCAGGGGGCCTCTGCAGGCTGGACTCCTGTCAGCGCAGAGCTGGGGGAAGAGGGTGGTGCTCGGCCATCCCCCCAAACCCTTAACCTCAGTGCTGGGTAGGACCTTAAGAGCCAGGAGCCGCATCGACTTGTTAAGGGCCTTGCCATTATTTTGACTGAGTGAGCTCGGGCACCTTTTTCCTCTCCTGTTAGTAACACTGTGTTTCACCAACCGTATGATGCTGTTTCATGCTGGGTTCAGAATGTGGGCTCGGCATCTCAAATCTCGGGGCACCTCTGCTTGTGCTGGGCTAGAAAGAATCCCTCCCGTTAAGGTGATTTTAGGCAGGAGCAGACTTGTGGAGAAAGCGTGTCCCCTCCCCGGACACCCGCATCTGCATTCACATGGACACATGCATGGGAGACACCACACCCAATCCCAGAAGTCTTCTCCCTGAGCCACAAGATGACCTCAGACTACTTCGCGGGGCCTCCAGTCAACCAGAACCCACAGGCGAGAAGAAATCAATTAGCCCCCGCTGGGGAAGGAGGCTGGCTCTGACCTCGGGCAGCTTATCTAAAAAAAAATCTCCTTGGGCGCCTGGGTGGCTCAGTTGGTTAAGCAACTGCCTTCGGCTCAGGTCATGATCCTGGAGTCCCGGGATCGAGTCCCGCATCGGGCTCCCTGCTCG